TCTTCTCCTCCTCAGCACCTGCTCATTAATGTTACGGCTGCCATTACACAAACATTTTGAAATAAAAGCGAAAATGCTTACTTCCTCCATGTCATTGTTATTGTTCTTTTGCGCATGCAGGTCAGTTCGAAACCGCAAACAGTTTACACTGGAATCTGATATAGGCCACATTTTAAAAGGCAATGTGAACAGCCAAACAAAGAATCGGATCCAAGCAAAAAATCCGAATTGAACATTAAGACTTGCAGTGTGAACGTGGTCTAAGTGTTAACAGTCTGACATCCTCTTATGCATGTTCACCAAACTCACAACACCAATCAGAATCAGAATCATGTTGATGCAACAGAACTAACAGATGGCTGAGGGAGATGTCAGTCATGCACATCTGTTCACAACCACAGACACCTGAAATGTCAACACCGGTGTAGGTGGACCTTGTAGTGTGTTTAACATAAAGTCCTCCTCCAGTAAAAAATATGTTGTTCTTCAATGAGCCTACGAGCATTATGTGTTGTATGTGTTGAAGTGTGATGTAAAAACGCCACCATTGCTGAGAATGGACTTAACAGTGAAGCAGTATTTGTCCAGTAGGAAAACTTTGCATATTCATAGATTCTGAAATTTTCTGCAATTTTTAATGAGGTAGAAGGAGAAATGTCTTTTTAGGAATGTAGAAATAATACCTTTTTAGAGAAAAATATCAGACACACATTATTGTTCCAAGGAGACTATTTGTATATAGCTATATCTTATTGCATGTCTTAAGGGGATCTTTAACGCCTCCTGCATAGGTTTTACACAGCATTTTAAATAAATTAATAATATGCTGATAATTAGTCAGGACAATCTGTTGCAGCATCACTGCAAATAAAGTTGTTTTCATTGGGACTACTTTCTACTGAGGAAATATCCCAGTTATATTTTCATGGTGTGTTCCTTGGAGTAAAGAAGACCCTGTTTTCTAAAAAGAGATCTTGCTTTTCTTGCTGATATTTTCAAATTAAATGGTTCCGTGTTGTCTTTCATATCATAGAATCATGAAAATGCTGAATCCTCATCCTGCTGAATGTCCAGTACGTTTGTAGAGCTGACAGCTCACACAGTCACATCCTTCAAGGTGACATTTTAAAAACACACACACACACACAGAAAAGCAGCTACTACAAATGAATTTCAAGGAGTGAAATCCACGTGGAGGCTTATAAAGTTTCCGACTCCCTCATCAGTGTCACAGCTCGGTTCCATGCCAAGTTAGGGCTGCCAGTCTCCTGAAGGGACAGCCGTTGTCACGACAACCAGAGTGCATGTGAAGGCCAATCAGATGAAAACCCCGGGCCCACGTCAAGTCCCATGATGTCTGCAATTCACTCGCCATAAATTGTTTGTGAGTGAGTGTTTGTGTGTGTG